TACTTACTTTTTAATTGAAGCGTGGAAACTGCGAGTCGAGAGCGCTCCTGCATCTCAAGTAACCATGTAACTATCTCGCTACGAATGAAAGACCGTTCGTGCATTTTCCGAGCGGGAGAACGTAAAGGGGCGTGGCAGCGGTGATTTTTAATCAAAACCCCAAGTACTCGTTAGATTGTACATGATCACCCCGTACTCTACCATAATCGCGGGAAGCTGGTTGGAAGAAGCGCGTTCCGCGATATCCGTGAGAGTCGAGTGGGAGCATCGTTGAGTATTTTTCACCGTCATCCGGCAACGTAAATGCTTCATCACGCCCGTTCCACGTAAATCCTTATTTCCGTTAAAGCGAAAATTTTCAGACCGGTAAATGTGTTATCGTTTTTAACCCCCCGATACAATATTGCGCATTATTTCAAAATTATCACATCGCGTTCTTTGTTTTAAATATTAAACTGTCGTCGTTGTTTTCTTCTACGTACGACCGTCAAGCGGATAAAAATATGGTCGGTGATGAGAGGAAAATTCACCTGTTGTTGTTATTCATTATTGCCTTTCTTATAATCTCTCCTCTTGCCGTAACTTTGCGGTTAACTTTTCTGATGAAACAAGTTTTTTGAGTTACAGCTCGTAAAAAATTATTTTGCAAATTATACTTTGTGCCTCTAAAATAGAAAGGCGAAGCTGAGTGTTACTTTATTTTAACACGAAAATAAGCACTGTGTTCTGAAGTCGTACAATCATTCTCGACAAAGCAGCCTTTTACGAGCATCTGGCAAGCGTGTCGTATTTGCATAGAAAATTCCTCATTTCCCGACATGTTAAGGACGAATGTAATGGAGTTCATTGTTAGCGTCGACGCTAACTCCGTTTCGCCGGAGAATATCACGAACCGGGCTATTATTTCCAGTTTTTAAAGACGTCTCACTTCAGTCCTCATTTCTCAATTTTCAGGAATTGCCATTGAATGACCGCGGCTCGTACGGGAGCGTTTTCAATTTTCTCTCGACCCATTCGATGATATCGCGATATCGTTTCTCGTATTATAGAAATTTATAATACCTCGGCTCTCAGCAGTTAAATAACTACAACTGAAATAAGAAGCTCTCAATGTCCTCTCAGATTATTCAATCTCACGTTTCTCAACGAATTCCGCAAGAGAACGTTTCAATTCACCGACGTGTGTAATATTGAAGCTGGAAAATACCGAAGCGTAAATAACGGAATGTTATTCACTAACACCGTCACGGCGCGACGTTGTTGTGAGGGTACGATCGTACAGTAGAAGCGAACTAGCGAAAGTTCAGCGTGTCTTGCTTTCCGCGTTACATCGCAGGGTATCTTCATTCCGCGACTTCTCCAGAAAGCAGCGAGGAGCAAACACTCGACAATCAGGACTGAAATTCCGTGTGAGATGAGATATCCTTCCCTGGTGTATTCTTAATACATTATACGCGGATAAACAGTTACGATATTTTTCGTCTCGAGACCCGATACCCACTTCGGGAGAACATAAATAAAGTGGAAGTTCAAGTTTTCCAGATTGAACTCCGAAACTAGATAACATCCATTAAATTTATGATGGCCTTTAAACCCCTTAGAGCGTAGATACTGTAAAGATTGATAATCAATATTGTGTAGGATATTTCCACAAAGAGACACGACGGAAAAATCTTCACTTTTTTTTTAATTGACCGATCTGCTTCGCATACAAATCTGAAGAATGTACCCGGGTACAATCTGCAATCTAATATTTATCGTACCATTTTAAGGCCCGGTTTCACCAACGTTAAATGCTCAGTCTTCTCTATGTCGGCCTCGTAATTCTTGGACAATAAACAATTCTTCAAATGACTCCTCACTTATCTCTTCTTTTTTGAAATTAGCTTAGTTTAATTCGTTCCTTGTCTCTTTCCAACTGTTACTTTAGAAAGAGACAAACGTGAATTAAACTAAGATTAAAGTTAAGCGACGTTTAGCGAGACCGGACTTAAATAATGGCGAAATAAGCGAAGAGTCATTCGAGGAATTTTTTATTGTCCAAGAATTACGAGGCCGACATAGAGAAGACTGGGCATTTTCCTTTCAGAAGGCATCGACCGGCTCTCGGACAATTAAAAAAAAAAAGGCACGAGATTATCGTATCTCATTAATTCGATTACACTTTTTCCGCTCTAGGAATGACGAACGTTGCGGTCGAACGCGAGCGTGCATGCGGAACTCGCGTTAGCTTTAGATTTAATGGATACGGTAGCGAAAAGCGAATTCAGCTTCGGCCGTTTCTACATTAATTCGAGCGGACAAAGAAATCTCGCGTGCTCGGTCGCGATACAAGCAAGCACTCTCCCACAAAGGAGCAATTTGGCTGAGAACATAAGCTGAAAATCGACCTCCATATCTACTGCGACTTGGAACGATTGGATCTCGAAAGAATTTTTTTCCATCGGCGCGTTGACGCAGCACGTACGGCAAATCGAAAAACTTTTGATTGGATTATTCGTTTATTGTATTTGCCGTGGCTCCCGCCCTCGCGATGCCGCGGTAAAGTTGAAGCTGTTAATAAAGTCAATAAAGTAACATCTCGGCAGCGACGCGCTAATGAAACGTACGGGTACGTAAAGGTAAAACAGTTCTTCCCTTGGCAGGGAGCCGAAGTAATATCGCGAGTTTTGTAAGGGGAAGGAAGAACTTGAGAATCAAGTTAAGTGGGTCAGTTATTGTAAAGTAGGTGAGCAGCCGTGGAATAAGTAACCGGTTCCCTTCGGCAGTGTCTCAGATTTCGCCGGCGGTATCTGATGCGCCGAATATATCTTTTGATGGGCTATCTAATTGGAAGTTCCCGACTCGAGTGCTCCCGTATGCGCCGTCGGAACTTTGACCAAATGTTTAGAAAGGCTCCCAGCTGCAGACTAACGTCACAGATCAGAGCGCGTGTCAAACGGCAGCAGAACACGCTCCAAGTCAAGTACGGCTTTCCGGCGATGACTCTGCTTGTACGAACCCCTTTCAAGTGCGTCGTTTGATCACGATAATTATTACGGGGAGAAAAAAACGTTAACACTGGAAGAAATGGCGAGAACGCGGCGGGCGATGTGCGAGCATATTTTTCGTATATTTTTTTGCGCGTAACTGGCAGAGTGAAAACCGTATTATCATTTTAACGCGACCAATGTAAATTAACATTAAATGCGGATCAATCTCTCTCTTCTCCTCCTTTGAGTTTTTTTATGAAGAAGAAAGATTGCGCTATCACTTGATGAGCTCTTAGATTAGTTATCAGTGGTGGAAATAATAGAATAATTACGTGTAGAATAAAATGCCCACGGTAAATATCTCGCGCTCTGAATTTATCAAGAGAGAAAGACAGACAGAGCGTGTGCGTGTGTGTGTGAAAGTGAATGTCTGAGTGAATGAGAAAGAGAGGAAGAGAAAGAGAGAGGGATATCCTGTGTTTTCTGCTGTAATATTAAAGTGGAATTAAAATTTCCGCCACGCGCGGAATAATTGGAAGAGGCGACGCAACTAATTTCCAAGTCGAAGTTTCGCGTCCAACAGGAACTCGCGCCTCGCTGCTCGCCGTCTGTCCCGCGTGTCTGTTTTCCCCTTTCCTTTCTTCGTTTCCTTTTTTCCTCCCTCCCTCTGTCCGTGACTTCTCAACACGCGTGGCGCCTCGCGCGAACAAGGCGTACAATCAGCAAGTCCCGCCTTTATTTATTCACTTTCCGGAACTCCGCGGGGCCAGGTTCCCGTTTTCCCAGGCCGCTCGCACCCCTCGCCGCCTCTGGAACGACGGCGATTCTGTAGCGTCGCATCCCCGCAATCTCGGTACGGCGGTAGATCGCGACCCGGCAAGCCGCCGGTGCCGCGATTTGCCGAACCTCTGTCTTTGGAAACGGCAAAATCTTTTTTTTTTTTCATGGCTTCATGGAAGAGGGGACAAGTGAATTTAGCGTCACGTCGCATCGGTCGGCGAGTTTTCAGCGGACGGCTCGTTTGTTACGATGTGATATGGAGATGGGCAGACGGACACGGAAAGGAAAGGATGAAGGATTGCCTGTGATTGTGCCTGTGTGAAAGAACATGAAATTGACTTGGAGAGAAAGGGGGGGGGGGAGTGAAAGAATGAAAGAGGGAGGGAGAGAGAAAGAAGACATGAGTGATGAAACCTGTTCACGTACTCAATGATGTATGTTGCAGATCATAACTGTATTACATCGCTTTCGCGCGAGATCGTTCCTCGTGACGAGCGAAGCCTTTTTTTCTTTTTGCGAAACGGCTGTTAGCTTTAGGCATTCCGAGGGTACGTGTTATCGATCATGGTTCGAGACTAACATGCGACTTGAGAATCCCAAGTCACGTTGCCTCGGAAGTGAATCATTGTTAAGAAAAATACGTTGGCAACATGTACGATTCGCGTCTAAAATGCGAAACATTAAAAGCTCATCCTCTATTTAAACTTGGAACGAAAACCCAAAAGTTTGTCGGAACGTTAATTACTCCGAGAAGATTTGCTCTGACTTTAAACAAACTCGAGAAGAATTTATATTCGGGGCTGCCTTCCTTTCTTTTCTTCCGTCGCTCTCGCGCCAGGAGCGGCAACTGCGAGCTGACCTTTTGGTATTCTCGAAATTGATATTTATCTACGACACACAGGCGGAAGCACCCCTTCGGGGAAAAGTCCTTGCGTCCCGCGAAATCACAGATTCGCGCGAAGATATCATGTCGACATTAAAGGAAACCATCTTGCCCGGCGCGAATGTCTTATCACTCACTCATACATAACGCATCCCAGAGCGAGTGTATCCCGGATCAGATCAGGGAGGTGCGAAAGAGGAAGAGGAGCGTGCTAGAACGGGATATGGGAGAGACGAGGCACGGACGAGGTCGCGAGTGTGCGTGTACGTATGCGTGCGGATAGAGGGAACGGAGACGGCGTGCGAAAGAGGGTGTGCGGCAGGCACACCGAGGCGACCCGCGTGGGTTATGTGTCTTCTTCGCAGGTCATCGGAGATCTACCGTCGACGACACGCTATCTCGGGCCATCGGCAAGCCTTCGCGGGCAGGTCGGCCGGTGCTGGGCCCGCCGCCGCCGCCTCGACCACCTCGGAATCGCTGGAGAGCTACGCCCTCGATACGGAGATTCCCGTCGCAGCCAGGAGGCCTCGTAGCACGAGGGGCTCGCAAAAATGGAGTAACGTACGCGCGGTCATGGCGTTATATTCCTCTCTACGCAAAATCAAGAGGTACTCCCGCCATTAGCCGATATGGACGGTAACCTCTGGCACTGTCATCCGCACACAAGACACGTTAACACACTGACACATATATACACGTACTCACACGCGCAGAAACTTTCACGAATTGTGTTGGGAACTCGGCACGGTGCCTTGAAGCATTCACTTGTAGTCAACCCCCCTCCCCCATGTGTGTGTGCTTTGGAACTTCATTTTTGAAGGCGTTACACGTCTCGTACAGTTCCTAATTATCTAAGACTGCGAGAATCCGCGATACAACGATATTTTATTTTTGCAATAATATTATATTTTTCTAAAGCTCTAATTTGAGACCGGCTGAGTAATCAATTAATAACAAGCAATGTGGAAGAAGTTCTGAAAAAGTTAATTTTAAAAATTAATTTTCTAGAAATGAATGACGCGATTGTATCGTATTTTTGAATTTTTTTTCCTGGTAACAAAATTATTTCTGGTTACGGAGTTATTTGAAATCACGGGCCGCGGAATTTCCTATAGTTACCTAGAAAATGTATACTAGCTTATACGCAGCTTTGAAACGTCTCGGGATCCTTGGAGGCGGTTTTTGTCGAAAGTATTGGAGATCTCACAGCGCGCCGGTGCTTGCATCCTGTCAATTATTCATCCCGTGTACACGATAGATTTTCGAATCTATTCGAATACTCCGAGGGATTCCGATTTTTAGGGCCACGCTCCGACCCTCGAGGCGAGTTTGAAAAGTATTTCGCGGATTTTCAACGAGTGAATTATTCAAGAATAGGCATCTCTAGACGCGCGCACGTAGCAACTCTGATCTGATATTGTTTCCGTACCCACACGATACCAAGGCTGATCACCGATGTAAAACGAAGGGACGTAAAATTTACGAGGGCGTGGGACTTTCTCTAAGTAAACGTGCGAACTGCAATAAAGTTCGCGTGGAATACGAAGCATCTCTCTATTAAATTCAAAGGCAATGGTGTGGGTTCGCGTATGAGATTATCGGCTCTGCATCTTGAAAAAGTTCGCGCCGATTCGAATAGATAAATTTAGTAACAAGGTGACATTCTCGTAAAGTACGAGAGAAACTATGAAATGTTTTTTTCTAAAAATGCAAATGCCTGTCACACATTTCAGAACGTGACGAAATATCATGTGCTAGTTATATGTATATCACTTCACTCGCATCTGTAAGATAGAAAAGATGGCAATTTATAAGTGACGATGCCCTTTGTGTCCAGACGAGATTATGACTCGTACAGTGTCGAATTTACAATTGTCTTGAAGTACATCGGTGTTGATGTTAAAAATGACAGTCTCGGGCAAATCTTGGATAAAGGGCTCGACTGTCGATCCGATCGTTTTACCTCGTGGACGTCACCCTGCATTCGACATGAAACCGCACGAAAGTACTGGCTACTCGCTCGTCACTGCAACTCTATCCTATCTCTCTCGCCACTCTCCGCTCTCTCCTACTCTGTTACCTCAGATTACTGTACGACTCGTGTTCTGTATTAGATTAGCTGACAGGTGCATCTGTTCTCTGATATCCAGCGACACTTAGAAATTTCAAACGTTGATAATGAACTCACGAACTTGGGCGTTGATCGTCCACTCAGCGGCTTTATTCACTGATCAGCGGATCCGTTTGCGCGCAATTTGCAAGTAAAATTCGCCAACTTTTTACCTTGCGGATACTTTTACTCGTGGACAGCGAAGCGCTCAATTACCGTGCAAGTTTTTCCAGTTAATAAATCCATTAATATTAATTTTAAATAAACGGGAATTATTATGGCGATTCAAGGAGCGTCTGATGGCACGAGAAATCGGTCCTTATTGTTGGAAGAGCAGAGTTCGTGAACTCGGCCTTGTTATTCGTGCATTTAGTGGTCTGATTGATACGCGTGTATCTATAACACGGCTCATTTTCTCCATTTGCTTTGTATCGACGCGATCCGATTGACCGGGGAATACGATACGCTTGAATTAATAGCCACCGAGCGACTGATCTCGATTAATCTCGCGCCGCGAATGAAATATTTCTCCTCTATTGGCATCGTGTGGACGGTTTCGGTACGAGCTATCCCGCGCGGTAATCGTTTCGCGTTACCAGCATTGATGTCCGTGAGTTTTTAACTGTCGTCTACACCTCGAAATCCCGAATGCTTTAAATTTTATTGCTCCTCTTCCTATAGGAAGCTATCGGTCGATGAAAATTACTCATCTGCTAATGATACTCGTGCAATCTTTTCTTCCGAGATATTTTTCACGCGGATGACAGTTAAACTTCCGTAAACGATTATTCTAATTCGATAGTAAATTGCTTTGAAATAGACTTAACTATAACATTTCTAAGGCCCGGTGTCACCAACGTCGCTTAACTTTAAGCTTAGTTTAATTCGTTCTTTGTCTTTCTCCAACTGTTACTTTAGAAAGAGACAAAGAACGCGCGAATTAAGCTAAGTTGAAAGTTGGACAACGTTGGTGAAACCGGACCTAATAAACACGTTTACACGGTTGACGTTTGAATGATTTCTTAACGGAAAGAAAAACATAAATTATCATAGCAGAAAGGAAGAAAGGTCTGAAAAGATCAGAGTACTTCAGTTTAAGGGGTATATAATACTTGGGGAGGAAAGTCCTCTATTATGAGATAGGATTCTAATAATGAGATAGTAGGTGTTCAACGTCCAAATTTAATCACAAATCTTTTTTTCGCAACGATTACGCGATCTAACAATCAATTTTCCATTAAGCAGAATTCACTCCAAGGGCAATAAATTCATGGCGGAACCAACGGATGATGCCAATTATTTTAACAGAAACTCCGCTGTCTTATAATAGGAGACTTTTCTCTACATACGTGATAACATACACTTTACATCTACGACAGAACACTATACATGAATGTTACATTAACGACTCAAGAATGCGTAGTGGCATAATAACGACCTTTAGTTTCGTTACTGTCTCTGTCTAATGTATGCGATTGTTTGGTGTCTCTGGCTCTGTTTGTCTATCTATCTGTCTGTCTGTCTGTCTGTCTGTCTGTCTGTCTGTCTGTCTGTCTGTCTGCTGTCTGTCTGTCCATCCGTCCGTCTGTATGTCTGTCTGTCTGTCTGTCTGTCTGTCTGTCTGTCTGTCTGCCTCCTATCCATCTGACACTCTAGCTAACTGATCTGATCTCGATTCTCGCTCGTTTCTCATTTCAAGCAAGAACTATCTATCTTACATAGAACTTAGAGAGTACGACGGGTGTATTCGATCTTCCTGAAAAGAAAAAAAAACAAGAATGACATGTTTCTTCCGTTTCACTAGGTTTGAAGAATGGAACGACTAGTAAGCGTACATACCTCTATACCTTCCGTGTGTGTTTGCTAGATAAATAGAGCCTAGCGAGGACTGTGGAACGAGGCCGTCTTGCAATGTGTTCTCCGCGCGATTCCCGCGCGACGTCGCGCGACGAAGCTCATGCATGCATGAGATTCGCGAGGAACTCGCGGCATTCGCAGTCACGCGGAATATCCCGATTAAAACTCACGTGTGTGCGTCGTGCGATCGTAGCATTTCCGTCGAGGCGATATGCGCGCGCGCGACGACGACACGCGCGAGCCTGACTGGCGAGCGAGAACTGACGTGCCTCGCCGAATCACGAAAACGCGAATTTATCGTCGTCCCTTCAACGCGAGCGGATTAATCGCGTCTATCGGCCGCAAGCCGTTTGCGATGATAGACGCGGTTGACTTCGAACCCGCGTTTACGGGAGCGTCGCGACACATTCGTCAGCGGTGTCGCATGTCTCCTTTAAGAGTGACCCGATTCGGAGAATCGCGATATTTCCTAATTAATCAGTTTTCGCGAGGTGCAAAATATTCTCTCCGTATACTTGAAAGCTCGATAAATTGATCGTATGTAGTTTGCGTTGTTACATCTGCAAAATCATGTGCAATCGAATAGATACCCTCGCGTTTGTTTTCAATTTGATATTACGTTACCAAACGATACGTTTTCGATTCTTGTTCAGTTGTAAAACATTGCGGAAAATAATAAAAATGGAAATACGTGTCGGGGAGTAAACCTCAACTGCGGGAATGGATGCATTAACAAGCGGCGCAATTTACGAGGGATTAATTGACATTCAAATTTTCGCCCACAAAATAGTTAAAGGTACAATTTGCAGTGTTGGTTTTCGTAGCTCCGCGCGTTTGTGGCGGTTGTTCTAAATAAAAGTTGGCAAGTTCTGAATTATATTTATCAATAAATTACGATATGCAGGGATAAGGATATAATTTTGTTGAGAAAGAGAAAGTATGTGCAAAGCAGAAAATATTGACTCCCTCATTGATCTACTCTCTTTATTCGGATGATAAACGATTTTACCCGTTACTACCTTCATAAATCCGAGGCGCGTCATCGGAACAGATTGTTTCCGTCCGGATAAATCAGTCTTTAAAGTACGTACTCGGTTCCTCGCGGGAGGTTACTCGTATATCACGCGGTTCACTTAATACTCGTAGATACACGCGAGAGACGCGTGATTATTTATTGAGTGCCGACAATCCGTGCTTATCGGTTCCTCTCCCGCGCGACGGAGGGACGGCGGAGGAATAGGATCCTTCGCGAGACGGGATTTCGATCGCTAGGGAAGATATCTCCAACAGCATTTTGTATCGCGCATTGAAAACCCCCTTTATCACGTTTGAACTTAATCTTTTCGCGTGCAGGCGCCGCCCGATAATTCATAGGTCAATGCATACGATTAAATAAAGTAGCGCGTGACGTAAAGTTGCCGCCGCACGTGAAAAATGCATAGCGTCGACATTTAAACAATACAAGCCCCCCCCCTTTTTTTTCTCTAGATCGCATAATTTTTATGAATCCTCCCTTCCGGCAAGAAAAATATATTATTCTCCGCATGTCGCTCAAGTATGTCAGAAATATTCCGGGCGGATATGACGCCAATATCGAGTGCTTACGCGCATATAATGTTTGCGAGGGCGTTTCATTCTCGCGGACGATTCCCTGAGCGTTGATGTTTACTTAGACCGCAATTTATGCATTTAAACGACTCCATTTAACCCGGGTGGAATTAGTGTTTTTATTGTTGCAGTTATTCCTCTTACGTTCGCGAGAAAGTTAAGATGGCTTTAGCCGGCAGTCGTAACGTTCTCCTTCGTGCTTCGTACTTAATAACTACCATTATACACTGTTTATGAAGTATTTTCTTATATATAAAATAATATAAATCAATTTGTCGCTAAGATGATTTTATTTTCTTCTCATTTACAACAAGTAAAAGGCGACGTAACAATCTGATGAAAGAACGACTCGCACAATCGGATGCGCGTTTGTCCGCCTATTGAAAGTTAGAAAATTTTTCAAGCTTACGGATTATCACGGATAGAGCTACATCGACAGGAGCTGGTTCGACCGAGAGCGTGGGAGAGATCCGCGGGACCCGCGCTCTATTTTCCCTTTCGTCCTTGACTGGCGACCTATTTATCTTTCTGCCCGCAGAACGAAGAGCAATCAACGGTGGATGAAACTGCGCACGACCGTGCAGCTGTCCTCGGCGATCTCCACGATTCAGAAGAAGCCGCCACTGAAGCGCGAGGACTCGTTCCTGAAGAGGTTCTCCACGAGGCAGATCCCAGAGAGCCAGGAGACCCTCGACACCGGCGAGGGCGAGGGGGACGCGACCGACGAGAAGGAGGCGGGTAACCGGCGCCGCAGGCGACCCCGCAGACCTCAGAAACCGCCGAAAACCGTGGTCAATCCCGACGAGAACTTCTATTATTACTGGCTGATGCTGCTGTCGGCCTGCGTCCTCTATAATCTCTGGACGCTGATCGTCCGTCAGAGTCTGCCGGAACTGCAGGCGCTGGCGCCTAACACCTGGCTCGCTTGCGACGGCTTCACCGACCTCGTGTTCTTCCTGGACGTGGCGGTGCAGTTTCGCACCGGCTACCTGGAGCAGGGCCTGATGGTCTACAACAATCGGAAGCTCGCCGGCCACTACCTCAAGTCCAAGTCCTTCATCCTGGATCTGTTCGCGCTGCTGCCGCTCGATCTGCTCCAGGTGAACCTCGGCAGCAACCCCATGCTGAGGTTCCCCAGGTTTCTCAAGATCTACCGGGTGTACAATTATTACTACATGGTGGAGTCGCGCACGGTCTATCCGAATCTCTGGCGCGTGCTGAATCTCATTCACATACTGCTCATACTGGCGCACTGGTTCGGCTGCTTTTACTACCTGCTGAGCGAGGTCGAGGGCTTCCAGGGCGACTGGGTGTACCCGTACCGGCCCGGCGAGTACGCCACTCTGACCAGGAAGTATCTCGGCTCCCTTTACTGGTCCACCCTGACGCTGACGACCATCGGTGACCTGCCCACGCCGGAGACCAACGCCGAGTGAGTGACATAATCTCTAGCGAAACGCACTACCTTTCGCTCCCCGCTGCCCCCTTTCGTTTTCGTCTTCTTATTTTTCCTTTGTCGCACCGCGCGCGCGCGCGTCCGTTTTCGTCACAACGAGGCTTAAGAGAGGATGGAACGTCGGCATGTTCGCGCATTCTTTCGGACCTTCGCTCGCCTCTCGGACTGAGAATTGTCGGCGAGAGCGTCGGTACCACGCGTTAAACTACTGTCGTAACGAAACATCGAACGATCTAAATAGTAAATAATAGCAGTACTTTTTTAGACTTTAACAATTAATATACGGTATGAGAATATGAAAACTGGATAACTAATTATCTCGAAGATTGCTATACAATGAACTATTTTGTGCAGTTTTCAGTTATAAAGTTGTAATAAATATATCGGAAATTCTTCCTCGCAAAGTTATCGTTAACAAACTTCGCCGCCATATTTCCCGAGTGTCGCGTTATTTTCTCGTACGATACGGTCGGACGAAGGAATTAATCGAAATCTGACTCTCGCGTTACTGCAATTTTCTTCCCGAAAGTGGATGAGATTATCGAACCCTTTATATGTTTCTACCACGATTTCGATCCCCTCAGCTTTCTAATTCTACTCGTATCGAATAGGTTCAGCGCAGGAATGGTCCCATCTTTTGAGAAGAACTTGGGAGAACAGAGCTTCTCATCTCCGAGATTGCTTTTCTGAAATTCCCCCAAACGCAGGCGAACCCTTCGGCTGAACCCTTTATAGATTTTTTATACCAATGCCGGCGCATATCGCGAGTGCCCAGACACCTCGATCAATCTCGAAGTCTCAAGTCTGTAACGTCGCGGCCTCCGAAGCTCGAGTTTAGCCTGCATTCGCGCCGAACGTTATGACACCCTAAAATCCGACGGCTCCTTCAGGCCGCGGATCAACAGGTAGCTGGCGCATAATTTTATTTACTTTACGACATTCGTTCTTGGGCCGCGCGACTCGCGATCCATCAAGCTGTCCGTGTAATAAAATTCGCGCACTTGTAAAAAAGCGCTCGAGTTAAAATCGGAGAATTCTCGAGGGTAAGAAGAAAAGCCGGAAACGGACGATCGTTGATGTACAACTGACACATTATTTTCAATGAATATTTTAATAACTTTGTAGATAAAGAACAGATGTCACAAAGAGGTAAGAAGGAAATTATGTCCAATTATCAAGCGCGTCCGTGCAACTTGTTTACGTCGATGCCCTCGAGGTTTCGCGCAGGCGAATCGTTTGGCAAGCGACGAACGCGTTACATCCACTCTGATTTCAATGAACGTCATAAATCGATGCGCTCGAACACTCGATATCGACGGGAAATTAGCGTCTCGTTGAGAGAACGCCGTGGGCTCAATAATTACGCTTTTCCCTCGCGCGTTTCCCGGCTTCCCGGTCGGGTCCGCGTATTTTCGGAAGCCCGTCACATTCATCGGGAAATACAATACATGTTATTGGAGCGTGTTCCGTAACGGCGTATCGCTGCGCTCCCGAGAGCGAGATCCCACTGGACCGGGGGCGAGCGCTCTCCATCTCGCCTAAGTCGGATTCAAATTCTCGTATACCATTTGGATGCAAACGCGGGTGTTACACGAACACTCGACACTGTCATTGCCGCAGCCATTCGTTATGCAACGGCATCTCCCACGGGGAGATCGTCCTGAATTTCGTGGACGTTGAATCTGAGGACCGGCCGCTGCTAACGTGACGAATCCTGAAATCGATGCGCCCCGAAATCGAGTCTCTCGATCGAGAGACGATCGCTTCGCGAAATGTCGTTACGTAAGTCAAAGATTGTCGTTTTATTACGGATTATCGTGGCAACGACGGAGATACATTTGTGAAGATTACGGTAGATGGAGCGTTCTCCATGTTCTCCGCAAGCCTGACTCGTGCGATCTGCAATTTAGAACGCAGATTAGAATTCAAACTAGAATTCTGTTTATATAATTTATGCGTCGCAATTCGACAAACATTTGAAGTAAGCTTATATGCACACGGGAAAAAGATGCTATTGAATTGAAATGAACAATAAAGTCGCTTGAATTAAACGGTGATGTCACGGGCTGCCACGAGCATAAATAATTCTCAGTTGCATTTGCTATGGACTTTAACTTTAAGCATTGAACTGTAAATATCCAAAGTATTAAGACAACTACCTAATGTTTTTCATTCATTAATAGCGGGTTTTCAATATCCAAATTCAATCACGATCTTCCTCAACATCAGTTTTCTTCCGTGTATGTACATAAAATATAAAATTGACTAACGCGCATACAGTAAAAGTATACGGCACATAAAAATACAAATAGAACTCTATCTTGAATGTTGACGCGAATTATAGATCGCGTAAAGTGGGCTCCAGTTTGGCGAGGGTCGATAAAAAAAAGGATCCTCATTCCGCGAATATCGAGTGGCGCGTGCAAAATGCGAGATCGGCATCGAAATCCCCGCGTCCTTTAGAATTCGGAATTATGTAATTCCCGCGTGTTTCGACGCGTCACAGGCGATACGTTACGCGGAGCACGTTTCAGTAATAATATCGTACAATTTAACAGCGTACGCAGCATAATCGGTGCGTCGAATTAACTTATACAAATTAATCGTCGGCTAATCGGCGCTAAATCGATTGACAAAGCGCCCATTATGTCGCGCGGGTATACGCGACGCGCGGTCGGGCTCAAATGGGTGTTGCAGAGCGCTTAATGTTTTACCGTATTATCGCGCGGGCGCCACATTCGATCAGGTCGAGCGCGATCGCGATAGAATGGAATCGGCAAAGCCGATTTGATCGGCGATCGATCGGTTCCGTCCCATATCGTCGTCGCGGATTTTTCTCCGTCCGGACTTAGAATGATCACCAAACGGCAGTCGTCCGTGCATCGTCGATTTTCCGCACGTTTGCCATTGTCGGCGGTGGCGAACGCGCCGGTCTCTCACGGTCGCGCCGTCAGGTTCGTCGTTGAAACATGTACAGGGTTCGCAAAGTCGAGTCGTCCACCTTGGAAAAATTGGAGAACGCGAGCACGCTTGCCTCGCGAACTGAGCGCGAGTGCCCAGCGTTCACTTGAGCGAACGGGCTCGAGTCAATTTTCGTGTAAATCTTTACGATCCGCTCGCGCTGGAATCTCTATCCCTCCCGGCTTGCGTTCCGCGCGCGTCGATTCGGCGCGCGGTGCGGGAACCCCCGGCGGTTCCATTGTCTCTCCTAAGTTAGTCTCTTAGTGAACTTAGATGCCTAGGAATTAGACTCGTGAAGCGGCCTTGTTGTTGTTGTGTTGGCAGAATCGTAGCGGGCGGCAATCCCCGGAGCCTCGCTCGTCGCGGCCGACTGTCCCGGCTTCTGCAGTTCAAGCATAATGGAGGGTATCTGTATCGTTTCCAGAATAAAGAAAAAAAAACGATAAGAGAAACGGAAAGAGAAAGGGAGAGCGAATGGGAGTGAGAGGGAAAGGCGAAAGAGAGAGAACGGGAGTGTGAGAGGCGGAAGAGCGTGCGAGGGAGGGAATGGATTGGAATGATAGGGGTTGCATGTAGGAGGGAGCGAATGAGAGTGCAACGAGAGAAAATGCATGTGAGAGAAAGAGGGGAGTAGAGTGAAATGAAAAGAGCGAAAGTGATGAATTCGTTTCTGAAAGAGCATACATGTCTGCACAAATTCGAAAAGGGCGACTTTAGTGGCCACACAAGATCCGACCCTTCCGTTGGCTATCGCGAAACGTTTCTCGGAGATGGTTGAGCCGGCGAATTCGACATTAGAGGGTGGGATGGAAAAGAGAGACGGGAGTCGTTTAGTACACGCTCGAATTTCGCGGGAAGAAAGCGAGTTGAACGAAATCCAGACCGTAATGGGAGAGAGAGAACGAGGCCTCTCATTTACGACATTGTGCTGCGACGGGAGGCGGGCGGAGAAGAGAAAGAGAGAGAGTATTCGTTTGAAAAATGATCGGGACGTTGAGGCCGCTCGTTACCGAGCAACCGGTGAATCGAGCGCGATTTAATTCACTGGTACAATAACGTTGAAGTGGCGGGTCTCGCCGACTGTTCTGTCGAGACGTTATTTTTCAAGCATAACGAATTCCCCGCGCTGTTTTATTACACGGCGGGAATTTATACCGCGCCGCGAAATCCACGTCGCGAAATTAGAAGGGACAAACAATACGCTTTACTTCGAATTGCATTTTTCGCAAGGACGAGTCTTCCCGGGGCGGCGACGCGGCGGACGAAAATTTTTCCCTCGGGCGGCACGGAGGAGTTTCGAGCTCATCGGATATTGCGCGGTAATGGCTATTCGGATCAGTGTTTATCCTCCAAACAGTATTATGTTTTGGTACTCTCTGATTTCGCCCTCCGCAGAGACATGGGCAAACAATTCTGCAAATAGCTGGACGGTAAAAGAAGTGACGATAAATCCACGCCGATTAATTTATACAATCGCGTATGGGGGCGCGTAAATATGAAAGGGATAATTATCTACGTGATTGTGAATTAATCAATGTAGATGTCGCGTTACTCTTGTAATCCTCGCTAAACAGAGCATCATCTCGTTGTCAAGTACGACATGTTGTTTCGAGAATTGAACATACCGGTCCGAATAATTGTTCAAGTATTACTACAAATTCACAATGCACGATGCATGTTCTTTACGTTTTTTTAAACAATAAAGTTAATACGCTCTGACGTGAAATCACAATTCGAAGGAATAAAGGATAGAAGAGCCAAGACGGGATGTTGGTGTCTAAATGATTTTAATTTTTTAATTTATTGCGAAAAATTTACCTCAGCCAGGGTTTGAACCTGGACCACCTCCCTCTCACTTAGGTCCAGTACTCCAGTTTTCCACTTTCTGGTTAATTGTTAACCAGAGGTTAGTCGACTCTCTTCTCAGATAATAACATAGAAAAAGATGGAGAGTCGATTAACTTCTGGTTAACAGTTAACCAGAAAATGAAAAACTGGGCCTTAGGGCGTCTCACCAATTCGACCACCCAGGCATGTGTGTAATATTTATCGCTTTACGTTTTTAATTAGATCGCAATTAGACATAGATACGAACATGAATACGAACTGATCAAAGAAGGAAAACACGTTTTTACTCGCAGAATGCGGAAGTATTTTTACGAGCGCGAGAATTCGCGGATCTCTGCGCAATATCTCGCAAGCAATCGGGATGGATCTATTAAAAAAAAGGGAAGAGAGAAATACGTTTGTGCGTAACGATATTGCGTTCCGCCGGGTTATTGACCGACCGGTCGGCCGCGCGGGAGGAAAGTAATTTATGCGTCGCGTGTTATATCGCGGGGAAACGCGCGTGCACGAAAGCACGTGTCGAAGTCGACGGGATACTCGCAATCTCTGAACTCTTCGAGGATCAGACGGGAGGCGGATGCCGAGTCCGTTCCCCGGCAATTAGTCTTTGTTCGGATAGCCGAACGGTATGCAGATTACCGCGATGATCCAACTCCAACCACGATGGAGAACGTTTCCGTTACTCTCGCGTTAGGTTTGATGGAAAGGCCGCTTTACGTGGCCGGTACAAAGTTTCAAAGACAAAGTATATATCCAATTGAAGGATCAGATAGTATCGTTACCTTTAAGAAAACATGCAGTCAAAACTGATAAAAGAAACTGATCACTAACTGATGGATAACTGATCGTTGTAATGGCTGTCATAATCAGTCGCTGATAGAACGCCACAAGTTACTGGATTCAACATTATCAGTTACTGATGCTGCTAAACAGCACTTTTTCGTAAGGGTAGGCTATTTAAATAGAAATTATGGAAATGAAAAAGAAGGTTGCAACATGCAAAGATTATGCAGTGCATAAATCGCCCTCCCTGCATAAATTGCCAGCCGTAGATGTAAAAATCGTTATCTATCTCAGTCGTCGCAAAGTACACCGCGGGTTATTCGAAGATGCACTTTGGTAAAGGAGGTATCGGCATAAGTGCTTTACATCAATGTCAGCGAATAAGTGTCGCCACGATGAGACGACACGTGGTCGGAAACGTCTCTCTTAAATTCGCGACGGACTCAAAGTGATCGATGAGTCGCCGCCGAGACGCTTTATCGAGGAGAGGAGCTACGGACGAACGAAAGAGGGAAGAGACGACGAGACGAGGTTAATAACGCGAAATCTTCTGCGGAGAATCGCACGAGCCGACGGGTAATGAGCAGCCATAAAGTCGCGAGATGACAAACGATGGAGGTTCGTGCCGAAATTTAACGGCGAATTGACATTTCTCGTAGAACTTGACGTGGCCCGAGGCAGAGATTCTAATGCGGTTACGTCTCTTTCAAATTGTTTGTCTATTAAACCATTAAAGAACGCAAATAATTAAGCGCTAGAGACTTAACGGTGCAAATAAAACAAAACCCAGTAAGAGCACTAACGTATAATCAACGTCGAATCGACGTCGATTCAACGTTAGTGTTTTCTCACTGAGAAAAAGCACATAAAAGAATAATTGTATTTTCGCATGGACATCCGTGCATCTAAACACGATTTGAATTTTTACAATTTATCTGTACACGAATCAATGATATATATTGTCCATTTAATTTATTTGATCCAAATCGAGAAAGTTAGTTTTGATGGAAATGGATAAAATTAGAATGAGCGGTTACGACGTCTCGAGTAAGAAATAAAACAAGCGAGACGTGAAGAAAAGCGTGAAAGATAAAAAGTGTATTTTGCATATTTAATTGGTTATATTCGTTTATTTTATTTAAAACGATGAAAGTTAGAGCTCGAATGGCGCAAAATTGGAATAAGCGGTTGCCACGATGCTTAAAGTGGAATAGAACGAGGTGTAAAGAGAAACGTGAAAGTTAAAAGTAAGCGTAATCTCTCGTCCCGCTTGTTCTCCAAAGTCTATTCTGTCTCGCGAATAATCCGTTATTGATGGTATTCGCGAAGAAAATCGATTGAGATGAGCGATCGCGTTCGCAACAAGAGGGATCTTTAAAGTGGGAATTTGTCAACCGGGCGACAAATCAACGCGCGCCGCGACCATTACTCATCCTCGTGAATACGGCGGCTACTAGCTCGGCCTAAATAGGCAACCATATTGCGGCTAATTACTCTTTGTTTGCCAGTGAATACTCTGGATACCGATGTAACAATGGCGTTCAATAAGGGCGGCGGAATTGTTGAGTGACAATAGCGTATGATTGGCATATAAACTTCCTTCGACCCGCAGGAACTCTGTTCTCGAGGACACGTCCGTCATCTTGAGGCGCTTCTTCGCAAGCGCCGTCGCGGATATCTCTGAATCGTTCTTTCGTTTTCGCGATTCGCGACTGGGGATTTAGGTACGAGAGATCTGCCGTTTACCTTTTTGTCGTACGGGAAATTGAAGCTTTGAAGTTTCAGGCAGATTTAACGAACTAGATTTGTTGTTTGCAAAACCGCGCTGTTACCTTGTCGAACGTGAGTGATACGGCGGCGATATCGCGCGGAAGGACACGCCGTCGATGACGCGCGCTTCCGACTAGCCGATCAAAACGAGCGCCGATCCCGTGTGATCTGTCACGATATTTTTTCGCGACGAGGTATTTTTTACAACGAACGTCGAACGTAGGCGCACCACGTCAGACGGGGGTTTGAGGTTTTTCTGTACATGCCCACGCATTTTTTTGTCGCAAAAGTTGCTAAGTCACTCGAGAACCGGGCTATTTTCATCCCCCGAGGCGCAAAATGTATGATGGGAACACGGGGTACTCGTCCTTTAATTTAATATTCTAACCGCACGAGTGTAACAGTGTAACGGTGATTTACATTATCGCCGCTCCGTAAGTGAGACCGCTAATACTTTATTATCGATTACGTTCACAATGTCGTGTCCATAAACTGCCGAACGTAACTTATTTCGCGAGATAATCTGATCGTTCATTTTTCTATCTCAGACTTATCGTACGATCGCACGAAGCGTGCAAACAATGCAGAACTCTCGAAAATTACTTTTTCAATTGTAAGCCTTTGGAAAAAATATATCACATCCAACAGCAATCGCGAAATTATGCATTTAAACGTCGTATAATATATAACATTTTACGTTCAATTAAGATAAAATATATTTTGTTGCTGTAAATCCAAAAATTTTAGAAACGCGGCAATCATCGACTTTTTAGATAATTATTTTCAATTGTATAATTATTAAGTTATTTCTTGCTCCTTTTAATAATATCTCTTCATGCAATCACGTAAGAAATATTCGAGACAGTATCTCTACAAAAAAATCCATCTCTTTAATATTTTCCTCTAATACTTCTGTCGCCAATTATTTTCGTTTCGATAAAAAGAGACATCCAAAACTTTATACTGTATTTTTTTTCTCTATAAGAGGCTAAACATTTCTAATG